AATTTTTTTTTTTAAGAGTTTTTTATTTTGTGTTATGTATTGTTATGTTATGAATTATATTATGTTATGTTATTAATATTAATATCATATATTAGTATATTTGTATTATTATAATATGTATATTATAATATGTATATTAAAATTGTATTTTTAAGTCCTCCTGGAGCTACTCTGTGGGCTATACGATAAATAAATAAATAAATAAATAAATAAATCTTTCCTTAAGGCAAAATTCCACTTACACCTACCATGTAATTAAAGTACCAAAATACTTAATTGCATAAGATAAATGTGTGAAAATTTGTAAAAGATTACCCGAACAGTTTCATCGTAATCAATTTTTAGCCAAAAAGTTTTTCAAATGTCACATAAAAACAAATTAAAAACCAATTGCGTGACTAATAGTTCAGAGTCATCTCCAGTTATTGGTATAACACATTTGTCTTTATGCTTTAAATAATCTTCAAAACCTTTATATATAAAATATTTATACATAGAAGCAATTAGATTTTATTATATTAAACTGATTTACCTTATTTATTAGTAGTTTTTCGTACCCCTGCGCAATGTCCACGAAAGAATCACTAACCCGACGTAAACCGACGTAGCCCGACGTGCGATTTAGGCGCAACATAACAAATCTCCTTGAAATTCAAGGACAGACTGACACCTGCAAATTTAGGACCGATTTGGTTTGGAATTAAAAAGTAGTGGGGGACGGGGGTAACAAGTGCTGCCTAGCAACAGAGAAGAGTCATAGAATAAAAATTGTTTAGAGTAATATATTACGTTTTATATAATATAATGTTTCATCAAATAATGTCCATCTGCTCAAGATGACCTTTTTTTATTTCTTTTCTTTATATTACCTTATTCTATTTTTTTTATTCATTTATTATTATACAGCAACCAGAACAGTAATTACATTCCATGAGCTGCTATGCTAATGTATATAAACTAAAAAGAATAAACTAAATAAGAATAAATAAAGATAACAAAAGTAGTAATTAATAATAATAATAATATATAATAATAATAAAAAATATAATATAATAATACTACAAAAAAGCATTAAATTAACTAACATATTTTGATAATTTACTATGAAAAAATATAGAAATTGTCCCATTAAAAAATTGGCTAGATTAGGATATTATCCATTAGTGATTTTATTCTATGTAATTAAATAATATTTTTACATTCTGTATTATGTAATTTTGTGTTATTGAATGCGTTATATATTGTACTGAATTTTGTAATTTCTCCATAATATATGTATAATATTTCTAAATTATAGTGATTGCAAAAACACCAAAAATGATTTGTTTATATCTTTACGTTTCTGAATATTTTAGTACACCTTAGAAAAAATGTATTTATGTATGTAAGTGTGTGTACATGTGTGCGGATACGAAACCTAGGTTTTGGCAACAATTTTCAGTCGCACCTAAAAAATTGTTATTTGACATTTGTGCCTTTTGTAGGTTATGTTTTAGAAGCAGATTTGAAGTAAAATTCATACTCATACTCGTAACATAACATTTTTTTATTGGAAAAATAGCCCCTAAATATCTATATATTATAAATGTAATAATACTTATGCACAAGATATCTGAAATGGGTTTTTTATGTTTCAGATGTTTAAAAACTAGTTAAAAATAATAATTTAATTGCTATAGGGCATAAAAGCAAATTATAAATCAAAATTGTCTTGCAGTTAGGCTGCTATTAGCATAAAACATTTGTTTTTATATCTCATATTTTTTTTTTTTTTAATTTTTTATTTTCAATAGCAATCAGATCTCATAGTTTTAAAACAAAGTAGTTTATTTTCAAACAACTTTGTTTAAATATTTCTAAAGGTGGAAATACTATATGTAGAAATTCATTGACATTTAAATAATTAAATTGAATTAAAATTTCCCAAAAAATCATTCTTATCCCAAAATAATGCACAATGTCAGAAAAACGTAATACTGGCGAATACTAATAAAAAATATTTAATTATGAAAATGATTTTTTTATGTCTACTGCTTCTTTTAAATATTTACTTGAATTCTTAGGATATAAATACTTAGATATAATAATAATAAATAATATAATAATATAATAATTTAAAATGGATTCTTGTTTAATAATACCTATATATTGTTCACTAATGTAATTGAAATATACAAAAATATGAAACTCCTAGTCATCTAAAACATGGGTAAAATACTGTTAATTTTATATAATAATTTTTAGAGATAGATATAAAGATATTTTTATTAAAATTAAATTTTAACTTATATTTAGGCATATAAAAATGTGAAAATAAAAATGAAGAATTTTTTTTATATAAATTTTATTTAGAAACAAATATTAAAATTATTATTTTACCTTGACGCCATTACGTTGCAGATACAATACTACTTCATTGAAAGAGATATATTAAAATCGTACTGAAATTTACTAAAATATTTTACATCAAGATTGTATTACCAACATTGACAATTGGCATCATTAAAATTCAATAAAAATTCTGTCTATAAAAATTATTAAAAATAATTTAGCAATTATAGATAAATAAAAATCGATATATCACTATGCGTGCACGATAATAATTTAATGGAATTATAACGATTACAAGAAACTCAAAAGTCATATGCATACAAAGTGTAAAAATAATACGAAAATATTTTGAATTGCTGTCTCTTCTATTATCATCCTCGTGTGATAGGGTTTGGAAATGCATTTTTATATAAATTTTTTGAAAAAAAGTTTTGGGTTAAAATAAGAATTCAAAAATTTTATTTAAAAACAATACTAATAAATTCAATATATTAATAATATAATTCAATATAATAATAATCATATCATAATTAAATCTTATTTTTTGTAAGAAGTGTACTAAATATTTTCACAGTTTAAAGGATGAGATGAAATAAATAATACTCAGGTGAAATATATCTTTATAATTGAATTGCTTTTCAAATGACAATTTTTTTCACTTATAAAGTATTTATTTTTAATTAGGCACTTTGTAAATATAAATATTTAAATCAAATGTCAAAAGGTTATATTTATTTAATTGCTGTTTCATTAATTCATTAATAATATAAATTTTTCATAATCATAATTGCACAATAATTAAAGCCATAAATTTCAATAATAATATAGTAAATCTATGTGATTATTTAATATTACTGCATAAGAATTAATAAATGGTGTTGAAATGAATAATAAAGTAAATAATAAATAATACAGTAAAATTTATCACCGTTATTAAATTTAGCATTCTAATAATATTAAAAAATAAGTTTCTGCTTATAATTGCCAAAAATTAAGTCTTTTGCAGGTTTTTCCTTGTATGTAAGATTCAAATAATAATATCAATTTTGAATTAAATATAATGGAAAGTATAGATATATTTTTAAATCATTATTTTGCAATTAATATCCTTTATAAAAATATACTAAATGTGATCAAATCAAAAACTGTACATAAGCAATCTTGAGTCTTATTAGAATCTGGCAATGTAGTCTTATTGGAATTTGGCAATGTAGTCTTATTAGAATCTGATAAGTCCAGATTGTCTCATTAGAATCTTGTTGCAATTTTTATTATTGAGAAATTTTTTATTTACTTATAAGTATAATATATTTTTTCTAGGTTTTAATTAGACAGAGGTATGAAAAATCATACAAAATATTTATACATACTGTATATATTCACTTGGTAACCTTATTAATATTTAAAAAAAAACTAATATAATAAATAATATATCATATGATTATTCAATTATAGATATATTTAATATTGGTTTAATTTATGTATCTACACTTTATATGTATTATCTTTTTTATTTGAATTTTAAATTTCTATTCTTTTTTAATCACCTAGATTTTTTGGGAATTAGTGATTGAAGATAGCACTCAATATAATGTTTTATATAAAATCTCTTTATTGTTAATATTAATTATTATTAATTTGCACTTTAATAAACTTCAAATTGTAAATAAATAGTACAGTTATAGTGCAATAAATCACTTGATAATGGTTAAGATTTGAACTAGTCATAATTCAAATATAATATTTCATTTTTTTGACTTAAAGAACAGTTTTAAATTTCAGCATTGCCAGTTATACTGATAAAAAATATTTATGTTTTATAAAAATGCAGAAGTAATATTTCTCATAAATTACTTCTGAATGAATCTGACTTCCTCCAGAATCTGCATATTAACTTTTATAAAATTTGTCCAAAAAATGTGTTCGGTTCTTCTAAAAATACAGAAGTAAAATATTAATATTTATCTCAAATTACTTTTTATTGAATTGGCCTTCCTCCTCAATCTGCATATTAATTTTTATAAAATTTATCCAAAAAATGTGTTCGGTTCTTCTCACCCCTGGTGCCTGGATCTTCCTCAGTCAACTTCACTGATCAGTCTGACCTTCGACACATTGTAGATTATGCGACCAATGAAAAACAAGCAACCCTGGCTAGACGACACAGTGTCCAGATGTCGCTTGCACACTGCCCGGGTTGCCGATGATCAATCGTCCTCTCAAAAAATCAGTACAAATTCGTTCGTTCCAAGGAACAGTTGTGGTGCTCAAGACTTCCTTCTTCCTGTTCACATGTCGAGGTAATCCTGTGCAGTGAGTTATAATAGTAGAAAGGACTTTGTAGAAAATGCGCCATCATGAATAACAGGAAATTTTTCTATGAGAAGTATTTGGTCATCCAACACATGAGCAACTTTTCCACGTGATCCACGGTTTTATGAACTTTTAACGCGCGCGATTAGTGAGGTAAACGGACTTAAAGTGTAGTAAAGGACTCGTAGATATTCTTAAATAATACTTAATTAATTGTGACTACATAATTTTTGCGCGCGTATATTTTATAGTATTCCTTTGAAATCGCAAACGCATTTTTATTTATTTTATTTATTTTTATTGGAGTATTAAAGAGTACTCTGAAGAACTTTTTGAAAGTGTAAAACAGTAGGAAGATGGCTTTGAATTTTTCAAGAAGGCAGTGGTTGACGCTGATCGTCATAGGAATTGCTGATTTTTGCAACGCCATTTGCGTCAGCTTGCAGGCACCATTCTACCCACAAGAGGTAAGAAAATAATAAAAAATATATTTAAATATGAATAATTTATGTAATTATTATATTAGTTATGATGTTAATTAATTAGTTATTTATTGAATTAATATATTAATCATAATACTCATTGCCTATTCATAAAAGAAACTATGTATTCAAAAGTATTGATTAGTTCCACGGATGTCCAATTGATACACTTGCAAGGTTTGTTTATAAGAAATCAATCATACGTATTGATATAAATTCGATGCACATCCTGTGAATCCATTTGGATTTCTCGAATTTGTTTGTACGAGAATAACAAATCTACATTGTGTTCGAGGTAGTTTATGTAACATACGTATTGATACCAAGGTACCAGTGCTTATAAATGTGCAAACTGGACTGGCATTATCTTATTAGAATATTTAATTTTCAATAGTTTTTGTTCAATATTTTTAATATCAACTTTCAATTGCCGTGAGAAGTTAACGTTTTACCTTTGAGAACATTTTTACATTTTTTTAATTTTTTTTTTCTTTTTTTTGAGTTCAACACCCGATTTTACACAATTTGTCACCATATCTAAGCGCCAATTGCAATTCTGCACAGATCCACTTTCTTTTTTGAGATATTTACTACGGATGTAGTGTAATCACTATCTGTTGAATTATATGCAGTGTCACAGATTTAAAAGCATAATTATTTGCATTTCCTGGTTCTATATATAATTTGCTTCCGATATGGTTCCAACATTGGAGTACGTTCTTAAAGGTTATGGCAGTCAACTATTTAATATTCTATAATTTTCATGCATAATCCTGTTCAGGTACACACGTATATTATATATATATATATATATATATATATATATACATATATACACACACATACATAACTCTGATTTGTGATCGTATTTGTCTTCAAGAAATTGACACTTTAAATGACGAGACAATAGAAATGCGGTATTAGTTTTGTGATAATACTAATTAATCACATTACAATGATTAAGATTTAGAACACATTTACCATTTAAAAATTTACTTTAGTTTATGAAAAAACAATTCCTGACTTCAGGGTTTCCAAAATCCCAATATTCAATTGTGGGGATTAGTGTTTGCAGTAACGGACTAGTTTCAAAAATTGTTGAATTTTAACAAATTCACTTCTTCAGTATTGATATTGAGATATATTGTTAGTGACTTTATTGATCAATCGGTTTTCTTAAAATTTTCAGTATTTCATACAAAATACGGTACTTTTATGAATCTTCATAGTCGTAGTACAAAATATTTGAGTTCAAAATAATTATTTAGAACAATAATATTTTTAGATCTGTTTTTATTCGATACTCATCTTATTTTTTTTTTCGGTTATAATTTATTTTTGTTAATCAAGACTTTAATGTTTTATTTCCAATATATATATATATATATATATATATATTTATAAATTTAAAATCAAATATTTTAATAAGAGATGGCAAATGTATTTATTCATTAAAAATGACTTTCTAGATGAATCGCCACTTCGACAAATACATGCAATTTTTATGCAAATTATGCAACTCATATAAATCTCAATGAGTTAAAATTTAAAATAGTTACTTCAAATATTTCAAATTTGTTATTGATGATACATATATTTTCTTATGTACTTTTATTAAATTCATTAAATTTTGTAAATTATGTCCCTATAGTTTGCTGGTTCCGGGTTCGATCTCACCAGCTTGATACAAAGCAGTAGTAAAACCAGATTTTCTCTTAAGATTAAATCTAAAACACGATATTAAGCAAAAATTGTATTTTGGATGCATTTCTGCAAAAATTAGTAATTTTGACTAAATACATTATGCATCAATTTAAGCCTTGGATTTGTTTTAGTGAAGTATCTATAGTCTAATATTTCCGAGTTCGATCTCACCAGCTTGATAAAAAGCATACCATAATTTCATTTACAATTAGATTCAAAACACGATATCGTTAAAATTGCTTTTTGAAGGCATTGTTGCAAAAATTAGTAATTTTGACTTACTAGAAATTATAATTGTTGAGTTGCATTTTTTTTTAAAGAACAGTTTTTGAATGTGTTCAAACTAAAAGTGCTTACAGGAGATTACTACATAAAAATGTGATTATTAAAGATTCTTATTGGTTTTGTTAACATGTACATTGGCAAAATTCTAATATTTACAATTTCATTCAAATGCTACCAGCGTCCAAATTAAAAATTCATAATCAACATTTTGTTTACGCCAAACTACTTCGACCTAGATTAATTTCGCATTCAATGAACTTTTTCCGAAAACAGTTTTTTAATTAATCTAGAAATATCTACCCAGACAGACGTCAAATTAATTTGCTAAATTTATTTATACATGTTGATAACTCCTCTACCTAAATTTCTCAGATATTAGTAAACATTTTTTTATAATAATCATACATCCTTGTCTGACTTCAGCAGCTAAACATATGTTCGAGAGATAAGGCTGCTAGACGTTTAGTATAATTAGAAATCACACTACACCAGCTAAATACGATTATCGCAAATGACTAATGTAAATAAACATTTTGTTATCGAATACATATAGGCGCCTGTTTCTTCTAAATGTCGTTAAATTCGTTATCTATGCCGATGTTAATAAATCTTGTCAAACCCCCGAATAAATAATTGTCATCGTACTACGCACTTTGGCGGATCTGGAGCAATGTACAACAGCCGAGCGGATGCTGATGATGATGATGATCTTGTTTCATTCATACATTCTGGTTATCTTTTTAATTGTAAGATAAAGTTGTGCGATTGTAATAGATAACGTGATTTGATTGCGAATATGAAAAGCGGGAAAGTATTTCTTTAATAAGAATCAACTAAGAAATTTTTTTATGGACAGCAATCATTACTGCCCTTAGTATCATCGAGCTGTTGTGATGTATTTTTTCAATCTAGTGTTATTGGCAGGCAAACCCGTGATTGTACAAATATTTACAAAATAATAAATTTTGCAATATTTTTCATACAACCAGCATTTGTGAAAAAATCTGCACAATAATGCAAAGTTATATAAGTGTCATACATTTACATCAAAATGTGGTTTTAAGGACCTCTTAAGGTCGCCCTTTTGAGTTACAGTATTTAAATTGTGCAAAGTTACTTCTACATTTACACCCAGCATATTATATTATTTTGATCCACAATAAATCTATGCAAAAACAAGTTATTATTGCCGTGGTTTCCAACCCGTGGGGCGTGCACTCTTTAGGGTTTCCATATTTTCCAAAATAACCCAAAATTTTTAATATATTAAAAAAAAACAAAAAATACTTTTTTCATATATATTCATATTTTACATAATATTGCATATTAGATTGTGCTCTGATATCAGTCAAGTAATTTATAAAATTAAGGGAGACGCAACATGTTTTTTTATTGGAGCAAAAGGTTGGAAACCACTGCCTTATTGTATTATGGTCGATAAATATTTCAATTTTTCTTATGAGTTATGACCAACTTCGTAAAAGTGTACTCATATTAGACAATGCATAGTCTAATTTATTTCTATACTAATTAAATCACTTTTCAGTATCAGTATGGTCAGTATCACTTTCTACCATAGTATTTTTTATTTTTACATAATATTTATAACTTAGTTATGATTATCCAAATCAATAGTCAATTTGTTATAAAAAATGAAATGCATGTCTATAATGTGTATTATTTAAAAAAAAAAAGCTATTTTATTTTACTGAAGTGTAATATGAAGACGTACAGTATTTTTGCTTAATCTAGGAATTTGCTAATATCTAGGCCATTCTTGAATTATTTTTACTTATTTTAAGGACAATCAAAATCACTTTACTTTATTAGTAAGTTGCAATTATTATTTTTGTTAGTACTAGTAATTTGATTCATTTTTTCTATGTTTTTTACCTTATTCAGCAGATTTTTCAAGAAAAAAATTATATTGGCTATGGGTTTTCTCACTCCACATTCTGGACATATCGTCGGCTCCCAAATTATGATTTTTTTGTTAAATGTATTTTTTTTTTGTTTTTGAAATCCTTAATAATTTGATATTACTAATAAATATCAAATATCGAAAATACTACAAAATAATAATCAGTAATGAAATATATACTCTCATTTATATAATGCCAAGTACAATATTCATATAATATTTAGCCACTTACAAATTATCATAAAAATAGTGAAATATTAAACTGTGGTACATTGCATTTTTTTGACAATTTTTTTAAAAAATGTTAATTTTTATTATTTTACTAGAAAACACTGATATATTCACCCAAACCAATCATTTAAATCAAATTCTCTTCTTTAATTAAAATCTGTTTACATATGTTACGAAAACTTTAATTAGAAATTTATTTATATCTATAATCAATTATGATTTTGTTTACTATAAATTTATTTATAAGATTTTATAAATATAGATCACTAAATAAGAATTTGCACTTATTTTGGCGACATGTATACATAAAATTGAGTAAACAAGTCGGAAATTGGAAGTTATATAATTTCGCAAATGATACTTGTTTTTTGATCTTTGCTCGGTCAGCAAAAATCATGATGCAAAATCCGAATTGAATTAGTTCAGTATATATTTGGATTTTACTAGATTTTTATGTAATGTACATTCAATATTTTATTCATATTGGTAATATATGTAAATATTTTTGTATATTTAGTACCATCACATTTGTCACATTTAGTAGCACAGTTTATATTTTGCAGCATCTTATATAGCAAATGTTATTAGGTATTTTTGCAGTGTCTTTATTTAAACGATTTTTATTATTCCACCTAAACCTTTGATTTTGTACATATTAATATAATTGTCAATTATTCAACAAAAAACAATACTCATCTATATCCAAAGCAACTTTGTTTCAATTCTTACTACGCATATAATCAATTTATGATGAAAGTGATGGCCTCCTTACTATTTGGGTTAGTTATCAATGATGGGTCAATTAATATCAGTGGACGCCGATTTTTTTTTTCAGTTTCTTCTTATCAAACTAGATTATATTTAGTATTCATTTTTATGCAAAAATAACATTCGTGATTCATAAATAATTATTGATTAATGCTTGCAGCATAAATAATTGAACTTGTAATTTGAATTATGTTTAATGCAACTTCAGCTAGGCGAATAACTTTTTAATCAACAAATATTTTTTTACAATATTTGGTGAAAACTGAATCTATTATTTAAATAAAGGTGTAAGTGGCAATTTCGCCATAAGGCAAATTGTTATATGTGAAGAAATAGCTCAGTCAATCAATGCAAAACTAACCACCATGCCCAGTATCAAATGGCTATTAAATTTTTTAGCGTTTCTGAAAAAACGTCCAATTTTGGCATACACACAAATGTATACATATACATGCTCATATACACATTTCAACTCAGGTGTCAATAAATTCAGAATGGCTTATGACGTCGAGAAGAAAAAATTAGCAACCTGGCTGAAACCAACCTTTCTTTGGGAAGTCAACTAATCAACATTTCTATTGCATTATTAATTAAAAATATTTTGTTCTGTATCTTTATATTTTTAATTTTTTTTCTAACAGTGAAAGATGTTACATAAAAATCCTATTTATAGACTTTATCTAGTTCTAGCATTAATAAAAAATGCAATTAAATTTGAACTACATAATCAAGACGCACTTTGTATGTGGCAATTAAATCAAGATGACAAAATCTAGTCAATTCTAGTTTTAGGCTTCCCATATCAATAACAAAAGATGAGGTTCACTGGTTTACAATTTTACTATGAACTTGAAGTAGACTGTGAACTGATATGATGTAACAAATCAAATGCGGAAATCAGAACCATGTTCTGGTTTTGGGAGATTGAACTCGCAATTTAATTATAAAATTAAGCAACAGCTAATTAAATTTTTATTTTTTTTTCAGGCTGAAAAGAAAGGAGCGACGGCTACGGAGTATGGATTAGTATTCGGAGTATTTGAACTTGTAGTATTTATAATTAGTCCAGTGTATGGTAAATATTTAAATCGTATAGGACCCAAAGTTTTGTTTAATGCAGGCATCTTTACGACGGGTACATGTGCTATATTATTTGGGTAAGTAATAAATGAATTACATACATATATTTAATATGTTGATTTTGTTTTAAACTATTTTGTTTTCCAGATTTCTGGAGAGAATTGATGATCATATACCATTCATAGCATTGAGTTTCATTATAAGAATAGTTGAAGCTTTGGGAAATGCTGCATTTCTCACAGCCTCTTTTGCCATAATTGCCAGAGAATTTCCTGATAATGTTGCTACCACTTTTGTAAGTAACATATTATGTATATTTACTATTTTCATTTCAATATAACTAGCAGAGTTGCTAGAAAATGTAATTCAAAGTTCTTCTACAAAAAATTGTGTTCAACATCGATTTTATTCCTGATGGTAGTAATGCACAAATCGATTTATTAGAATGTATTAAGACCATTTGTTTTTTTAATGTGAAATGTATGCAAGTCATTTCAACTAAATTAATTATAAATATTTGTTTATGTAAATCGAATTCTTTCACACATTTTATAATTTTTACTATACTTACAATTACTTACTATTGGTACTTCATAATCTAACTATGAAATATAAGATTAGTTTCTAATACGAAACCAATACAAATTCTAATAGCCTTGTTATAAATATTGTATTGACGTCATTCATTAAAATTAGGTTGGAATCTGCGTAATTGTGATGTCTCAAGTGCAAAATATTGTCTAATGTCAAAACAATGCACTAAATTGTAATTTAAATTCATCTCAATGTAATTTCATATTTAAAATTCAATGAAATTTGGGTAATTACTTATTCCACACAAATAACTCCTTATCAAATAAATTTTCTTCAATGTACTTTTAACATTTTATTAAACAGATTTTCGCCGGAGTACTATTCATATTTTTCCTTATCTATGGCACTATCAATTAGTTACAAAAATGTTCTCCAATTCTCCTACTCCTTCTATCCTCTTCTTTATTTCTTTCTGTTCTTTTTTTCTTTCTGTTCTTCTTTTTTTCTTTTGTTCTTCTTTCTTTCTTTTTGTTTTTAGTTCTTTCTATTTTTTTTTTCTTTCTTTCTTTTGTTCTTTCCTTCCGTTTGTTTTGTTCTTTTTCTTCTTATTCTTCCTGTTCTTTTTTTTTTTTCTTCCTTACCTCTTCTTATTCTTCTTCCTTTTTTCTTTGTTCATCTCTTTCTCCAACTCTTCAGCTTATCAGGCGTCATTCCTTCTTTGGGCTAGGACTAATTGTTGGACCAACATTAGGAGGTGCCTTGTACTCAGTCGGAGGATATACCACTCCATTCGCTGTTTTGGGTTCTGCACTCTTCCTGGCTGCCGTTATGACTGCTTTGGTTCTTCCCAAACAAACGTCGGAATCTGATGTTACAGACCAAGGATGTAAGGATAATAATATAATCAAATCTATTTGGAGGCAATTTTTATCTTTTTATCATGTTTTCAGCATCCATGGTTAGTCTTCTACGTATTCCTGCTGTAATTGTTTGCGCTCTGAGCATTGCTGCAACCAGTGTATCAATTGGATTCTTATCGGCAACATTGGAACCACATCTTAGACAATTTGAATTATCGCCCATTGTTTTAGGTGAATGTCCATTTTAGAATTTTTGCATAGTTATTCGTATAACTTACAAATCTAATAAATTTTTTTAGGTATGATGTTTATTGTAAACGGTGGAACCTATGCTCTTACTGCTCCAGTTTGGGGATGGCTGTGCGATCGCGGTTTGAGACCAAAAACTGCTTCTTTGGCTGGATGCATTTTAGTTGCCAGTGGATTTTCTCTTGTAGGACCTCTTCCATTCTTGCCATATACTTCGTAAGTAATAATGGACTTCTGAATAAAATTATTAGTAGGTAATTGCTACTGTCAGAAAATTATTTATCAAGAGGAACAAAATTGGATTTAGTCCTTAAACCGCACATACATCTATATTAGTCCAGTTTTCTTTTCCAATTTAGATTTTTTAAGAGTATAGTTTTTATACAAAATATTTTACTTAATTCTATTCCAATTATTTTCAGATCTTTAACTACTATAATTATCGGTCTGGTAATTCACGGTTTAGGAATATCTGCACAATTAGTAGCTTCCTTCACTGACGCTTTGAACACATCAGTGTAAGTACCAATATAAATACAAAATTCCATAAATTGATTTATTTTTTGCCTCAATTGCGCAAATCCAATTGTAGTGCTCGTGGACTTCCCAACAACATTGAAACTTACGGCTTAGTTTCTGGTTTATGGACAAGTACTTTTGCCTTAGGAGCATTTGTTGGTCCTTCTGTGAGTGGCGCTCTTTTCGACAGTATTGGCTTCAGGAATTCTACATTGTTCGTCATAGGTCTACATGGATTTGTAGTAAGTTATAGAAGAAATACTTACTTGAAACTAGATGATACGAGAATATTTCCTAAAAGTCTCCTAAGGTACTTTCGAGATATAGAATCAAATTACTTTTTTTACTACTTACAGGCTATCACCTTGATTGTATTCTTGTGCCTTGAAAGAAAACAAGGACCATACAAAGAAATTCCACCATCTGCATGCAGAAGTACCACGAGTTTGTTATTGAATGAGAGTGGATCAACAAGAAGGTAGTTTTAATGAATTAATAATTCTGCATCTAAAACATACTAAATTAAAATATTATACACTCATCATACTTATGCTAATTTGGATTCTCATTGATGATCATTTTCATTTGTTTCAGTTTAAAACAACTTATTGCTGGTAATATTACCATTGACGGAACTCCACAATCTCGTCCAGGAGGCATGAACTCACTTCTAGCATGTAATAGTGTTAATAGTTACAAAAATCTACAAGGACAATGGGCAAGGTAAAAATATTTCAAAATACTCAAAAAATATTTCATTGATCATTTTCATTATTCAATTATTTACTCACAAATGCCAAATTTTTATAAAGATTTGCAAAAATTAGATAAAAGTATAATCATTTTATTAGAATTTTAACAATATTTTTTTTCTACATTCTTACATTAAATAATTTCATATTATTTACAATTTTATTCTTACATTTTAATAATTTCATATTTTTATTTTCGACAGAAGAGACAGGTCCATGTATACACCGCATCATTAGGAATACTAGCAGATTAATTTGATAGTTTTTTTTAGAAATAGTTCTTTCTATATTTGTTATATATAATATATTACTAAATAAATGTTTATCATTCATCTCATCTTTCATTTCATTCATATTGAAATAATCATACTGAAATAATTTTGGAATTCACAATAACATTAATATATTTTAAAATTAAAACATTTATTCATTTTAATATGCATAACTCATCAAAATAAAATGCATGAAAGGAACAAAAAACAAAAAATATTCACAAATATAAAAAAGTAAAAAAGTAAAATTGTGACCAGTCTAATAAAAATATTTTATTTTAATACTGTTGCAAAACTTTTTGCTGAAAATTTTTAATTACACTTTCTTTGTGCTTAAGGCCAATAACTTGTTTGCTTAAATTAATTTCGATAATAAATACTAATAATTAATAAATATTAATAATTAGTAAATATTCAATATTTGTTTCAAATTAATGTAAGTTCATGGTTTCAATTCCTCAAAATCAGGTTTGGTTCAGATATAAAACAGAATTTTGTTTTATATTTTTAACTTACTGAGCCAGTGCGTGGTAACTAATGGTTTAGTGGTTTAGCAACCACTGTCAATAGTTTACATGGTTTAGAAACGACTGGTTTAGGATTTCATGTCCACTTCAGCCAATTGGATATTGAGCAGTAATGATATCAGATCAATGATCCAAAATGTGACGGGGTATTGCTGCTCATAAAGACAATGGTCAACTTATTTGCATAGTACAGTACATTCAATATCGATCTTCATTGGAAACTTACATTTCGATAGACTTTTACCAAAATTTGCATCACTCATTTACCCAATATTTCTTATTTTTAGCGGTGCCGATGTAAACATCAACGACCTCTTCTTCAAGCTGGAAAACGGAGTTGGTCTAAGTCTAGGAAGTTACTACGGAACCGTAGAGCCGATGAGGATGCAGACTTACCAGGAAAGTTGCCTGGCCTGATGTTCTTTCGAACTTTTCGTGACTTTGTGCTGTGTACCAAATATTTGATAAAATGACAAATCGTGCATAATTTATAATTTAATTCTCACTTGCTTTCATATTCTAAGAGGTAAGAGTCAAAAACATTTTTAGACGTAATTTTAAGGAATTGTGAAATAATGATGATATGTATGTATATAGGATGTTTGGAATAGTTAGGTTTATTGACTTATTAAATAGAAAATATAAATTTATATTGAGTTTTAATTAATTTGAAATTTGTCATGTATGAGATAGGACATTGAAAATTAGCTAGTTATTCTGATCCAGGACAGCAATTAGTAAATAACTGTAAAGCTAATTATTTAGCACTATTATTAATTAACCCTTCAGATATATTATAGTTGCCAAATGTTTCCTTTATATGATTTTCAAATTTTTTAAACAAATCACTTTTCATGCTTATTAAAAAATGCGTTTCTATTATACTTTGAGCACTGAATTGTTACATAACATAATGTTTATTCATTGAATTTGTGAAAATAAAAAATGACCAACCTCTCGCATAAATTTCATACAACCTACTCATTTTGAACAAATGTCTAATACAAGTACAATAAAACAAAATTATTTTCTAAAATGATCAAGTATGCATTAATCCTATTAATCACTTGCTACTGTCACAAAGTGTTGTCAACTAATACAACTGGTCATAGATCTGGTTACATAATTGGAGGAAAAACAGTGCCTATAACCCAATATCCATTCATCGTTTCTTTCCGTAGACAAGGAATGCACTTTTGTGGAGGATCAATTGTGAGTCGACGTTGGATATTGACAGCAGCACATTGTCTAAATCATATAAGTTATTTAAATAAGTGTGTGCCATCACTTAAAATAATTGCAGGATCTAGAAATTGTGAAAGCTATAAAAGCGATAAAAATTCCCAAGCCATTAGAGGAAAGAAATGCATCCTTCACGAAAATTACGTGTCAGGATCAGAACAAAACGATATCGGTATGGTTTACTTGAGAAGTCCATTACGATATACCAAATATGTGCAACAAGCTCCCATACCATCAATGAAAAATTCTCGTATAGACTTGAGTGAAAAGTATGACGAATGTACTGCAATCGGTTGGGGACGGACTTCAGTTAAATATGATGATTATGGATCAAATTTTCTTAAATCTGTTGAACTACCTTTGATATCTCATTCATCTTGCAGACAAAAATGGAGACGATACTCACGCACAGAGATAAAAGAAACACAAGTTTGCACATTTTCAAATCTTTATGAAAAAGGTGCATATAAAGGTGATTCTGGAAGTCCTCTGATTTGTGGAGAAAATCAAGTTGGAATAACATCTTTCACAGCAGAACCTGATATCGCAATGCTGCCAATTGTATTTACACGTGTTGATAAATATATAAAGTGGATTAAAAAAACAATGAAGTCAGGGTCTCCGACATATTATAAGTCACTTTATTTTGCACTTTTGTTAAATATAAATAAGACTATATTTTTGCAGTATCTGTAATATCGATGACTTTTGTTCAAAATTACAAAAATATAAAAACAATACATACTATAAACATGTTGCTGTCAATATTTTATTAGACGACCAATCTTTATATAAATTCGGACTATTTCCCTTAACAGTTCGTAATTTTCTGTCAATATTTACTATATTTTTTGATTGTAAATAATTAAAAAATATTTGTATCTTTAGTGTAATATGTCTAAAAATAACCCTGCAGGACTTTTTTTTATTGTTTATTTGTTTAACTTGTATACTTGTATTTTAGTCATATACATTTTATAAGTTGCCTTTACACTTATATTTTATTTGTTTGTATATATTTATATAGTGCATCATATATACTTTTCTTTGACTATAATGTTATAAAATTGGGTAAGAAGGACATTTTAGCCTTACAATATCCCTCTATAGCTCTTGCCTACCCTTCTTCCATTTTTTGCACTTCATAATGGTGTGCTCAGCATCCGCCCTAGTCACTCCACCCAAGCAATTAGGATCCAGCAGAATTTACAAAATTAATTATATTTTTCATCTGGTGCTCTCGAGTAATTTCGAGGTGTTAGACGAAAACTTCTCCTTACTTTGTAGTTTTGGATGGTAATCCAATGGTTTATCCATCCATATTTGATAAATTTATTATTAGAATTTATCTAATGGGGCTTACTTTTTAATAAACCATAATTTATTTTTATTTTGCTGAATTTTTATGAAGTTTTAGTCTTTTTATTTAAAATTGCTCTCATTTCCTTGTTAAATTTTGCTCAATTTTTTTATAACTTTATTTTAAAAAAGCATGTTATGAATGATATTTTTTTATTTGTCATTAAATATTTTATTTCTGAAAATATTTACTCCTGACAATGAAATTAATCAAGTGTGCATTAATATTTTTGTGTGTATTATTTCACTTGCAAGTGTCAGAATTAGAAGACAAAAGTGTAAATCGATCTGATTATATATTGCGTGGAAATGACGCATCGATTGAAAAATATCCATTCATGGTTTCACTCCAAAAACGGCGTCAACATTTTTGCGGTGGAACGATCGCCAGCGTGCATTGGATTTTGACGTCGGCAAATTGCCTAAAACGTGTGACTTTCCTTACAACTTGCTCGTTGAAAATAATAGCAGGATCTAGTCATAGCGTCGAATCCTATTTTGATCGTCCTACCAAACAGAAGCGAAAAGCATCTAAATGTTACATTCACGAAGGATATGATTCGAGGAAGAAATTTAATGATATCGGCATGATTTTGCTGGACGAGCCTTTTGAATTGTCAAATTCGGTGCAAGTTGTAAAACTGCCAAGAGACATCTACGTGAAGCAGGATTTATCATCGAAGTTTAGAGAATGCACGTTTATCGGCTGGGGTCAGAATACTATGAATGAAAGCCTGCCTTTTATATTAAATAATCTTCGATCAGTTACTTTACGCCCGATGTCGCATTCTTATTGCAAGAAAGCCAGGCTAACTAAAATGACATCTAATATTCGCAAAACTCATCTATGTACGTTACCAAAATATATGGAAATAGGTGTTAGCAAAGGTGATAATGGAGGTCCGATGATTTGTCAAGGTGAGCAATATGGCATAGCCTCCTATATACCAGGTTTAGATTCTAAACCTACTGTGTTTACTCGAGTTGATAAATATCTGAGATGGATTCATATTAGATTGAAATCTGGTGCACAGTTGTCAGCTAAATATGTATATTTTATGTCATGTATCAATTTTATTTTTTTGTATTTTACTGCATAATGGATGATATTAAATCAAACCAAATTTTAAACATAATTTTGTTTTATGTGATTTACTGTCATATGCTTATATGATGCTATGGATCGGATATGGCGATCAATTATTCAAGGAAAGTTCTTGGTAAGTGACTACATGAAAATGTGTACATTGATTAGTTTATATATCCTAGTAGTGACACTAGATGTTTGTATACTTCACTGTTTATTAAGTAATTCTCAAATTTATTTAGTTTTTATCAGATTTTTTTTAGTTTTATAAGAGCTTTATTTCAGTTAAATTTATATACATTATTAGACTATCATAGTTTCTAAGCCATGGTATTTCTACCCAAATTGATATTAATACATTTAGTTAAATTATACATATATACATTCTATATAAATTACACATATAAACATTTTATATAAATTACACATATATACATTTAAATTTTTATCAAATATTACGAAAAATGGTGGGAATTGCAAATTTTGTGAGTTTTTTGCGCCTGATTTAGTTTATTCAGTGTTCATATAGAACAGGTAAGCTCAAATCGTTTCGTATTTTCTGGGCTAATACTTTCATATATATTTAATATTTGTAATTCAACTAGTGGTGTATGGCATTCTAAAGCAAATTGCAGATCTTCCCGTATCGAAAATTATTTTTTTTAAAAAGGATTATTTTTTTGCTCTAACAAAATTAGATTTTTGAGAAATTTTAAATCAGCATGTCTCCTTATCAATACGAATCGAATTTTTTTTTTTAACTACTCAAATCGGTCTATATGTGTTCACGAAATCGTCGACGAAAATTTGTATTTGCACACACACACACACACACACATGCATGCACACATACACATACATACACATACATTCATTTTTTCTAAGGTAAGCCAAAATGTTCAGAAACCCCCAAAACGTCAAAATATATGAAAATTTTCATTTTTTATTTTTCTGCGATTACTTTTTTTACAAAACCTGAATATTTATTAAACTATATATGTTTAGTGCTAATTACAAAATTACAACCCAACCATGATTTTGTTATTTATTTGAATTAGTGAAAAAATTATTATAAATTTTGAAACTCTGAGTCATTCAAAAAACCTTATTCACTGCACCATTATTTAAGGATACAATCTATTATCAGTTGTATGAAAGGTTTGCATTGTATCCAAATTATGATTTACATTTTTGAACTATTCCTCATACATCTTCCATTGGAAATAAATATATTTATCTTTAACAAAGACCATAGTCATTAGATAAAACAGGCATTAAAACCATTTTTATCACATTTCATAAAATTTTTAGTGAATGTTATCGATTTTATGATTTTCTCATGAATCATTCCAAATGGTTGTAAAAACACCCTAATGATAGTTTACGACCATTTTTATCAGTTTCTTCTGAGACAACCATAATTTTTATTTGTTTCATATGTATTTATGATTTTGAAACTTCTGTTTATTATTGAGATTAGTATTATATATTGAAAACAACCCTGCACCTTGAAACTTCTTTAAATGAAAACTTTTTGATATAGACATTTGTTGCATACTAAAATAATATTGTCAGATGTTAGTAACTAAAATTGTTCGTTAAAAATCCTATAAAAATCCTTTAATTAAAATTAAAAAAAAAGTGATCTACGTGAATAGAACAAATTAACAATACATTATAAAATGTAGTTATACAACATCATATTCCACCTGTATTTTTTATAATTCAAAATTCCCTGGTTTACCCAATAAATTGCAAGTGATTAACAAGTAATTAGAAATTACTTTCGCAAAGTAACTATTGTATAAACTTGTGGTATGATTTTTGTCAAATGTTTAGAATTTTATTCTCATCAGGTGTTTGTTATTTGCCGAAGAACTCGAAGAACCTTTCACCAATTAAAATACAGTCTCTCGCGGCGACCTTTCATATCTGCAGATAATCACATCATTCTAAGTTTCTCAAAAATAATCTAGAGTAGTAATTAAAAATAAAAATTGATAAATGATTCGTAATTTGTAATAAAGAGTAATTATTAGAAATAGTGGTTTTAGAAATTTTTGCATACATACTGATACTAATAACATATTTATCCCAATCCCACACAAAGTTTTATGATTCATGACTATGTTTTTTTTCATATTTTTTATTAAAAATAGCTTACTAAATTATTTTATATTTTTATTACACATTTATTACTAAATTATTCTATAATACAAGTTCTGGAGAAAATAGATTTAAAAGCAATGTTTTGTTAAAAATTATTAATTTTTTCGTAATTTGTACTAAAAAAAATAATAATAATACTAATTGAATAATAACTACATTATTCAACAAATGCAAAATATAAAATTCATCGGTACGTTTTCTACAAAGAAAACACTGTATATAACCTTGATCTGGTATTTTGTCACAAATATATAACGATTTATTTAATTTTTTTGTGAGATTGATTTTTTTAATTCATTTTACTTTTTTATTTTCTATTTTCTATTGTTTACACCTTTGTCAAGATAAAGGTACTGTTAGTCCTTTTTACCCCATCCACGTGTAAGCTTTTATAAAAGTTAGTATTAAAATATCTTTTTCCATTTAAGTCCATTTAAATTTTGTTTTTAACCCACATAGTTTATAAAATTTTGATATAGATCTCGACTCTTTACCTCCAATTGATACCATAGAAATGTTTATTTAGAACGTGCCGTTTAATTTATTGTCACATTCGTAAAATTTATGATCACAAACTCGTTTATAAACTATAAAGAAAGAAATAGTTATCAGAATAATACTTGATCTGATTGTGAGAAAAAAACTTTCAATATTATGTTACAATATATCTTTGTACATTGTATTTTATTACTGGAGATGATAATGATCAGAGGATAGTGTTACAATTGGTTCAATTTGTAAAAGATACAACTGGGAATTATTGTATTTCAATAAAATTACTTGTAATAATAGATGTAGATAGAGATAATTCTTTTTAAACTATCACTAGTTACACGAACTATTTTTATTAATTTAAAAAGAAATTCTTCAAATAAAGATGAAAGTAACACCTCATATTTTTTCCAGTGCATCTATATAACGTTCTAGTCCAAATTATTTTTTACAAAAAATGTGGAAATGAAGATCAGTTGAAAAAACCTACAAATATATTCTTTCTACCATTACTTGCGTTATTGGCTAAGAATAATAAATTAAAGGAATTTCCATTACCAATTAACATCAATTATATAAATTATTATTGAATAAATTTATGCATTAAAAGCTTCCGCAAATAGTAAAAACAACTTCGAATTAAATTAACATTTTTGTTTAAGCGATTTTGTCCTTGATCCAATTAATTGCGTTTTAAAATCCGGTCGGACTTTTACAAGTAATATTAAATATAATGCACGAAGTCGTTGAAATACAATGTCAATAATTTTTTATTTGTTGGAGAAAAATCTGGTCATATTGGTCATTGAAAATATGGTCAAAATTAGAATATTTTAATATATTATAATTATAAGAATATTTTATTATATTTATTCTACTTACTTAGTATTAGTAGGGTTGTTATTATTATATAATAAGAAATTTCAATCTTAATTTTTTTCAATGCTATTAAATCTATACACTCAATATCCTATTTTAAAGAAAACTGCAAGTTTTCTTGCAGGACGATATTTTTTTAAATTTCTGGATAAATTTTAGTACTGGGTTCGTTCCCAGCATTGGCTAGCACTCTTTTCATCTATGATCTCACAGCCGGGGGCATTGCTGCAACATATGTATATATATATATATATATATATATATATATATATATATATATATATATATATATATATAATTACCGAACAAAAGAGAATGGTTAAAAAATAATTCTGTTTACACTTTAAACAAATAAATGAAAGTTTTGAATAATTCAAATCGGATGCCTAGTTCTCGAATCTCCAAAACGGCTGGACCTACCTTTGTCAAAATCTTCAGCACTTCTCCCCATCATTACGAATTGAATATGCTTTGTTCTCTCAAAAACACGATTTCCATTTTCAGCACTTTTTGCTCCGTATCTCCGAAACGGTTAGACCTGCCTTTGCCAAAAACTAATCAGCACATCTCCCTATCAATAAGAATCGAATATATTGTGAATCATTCAAATAGATTGATCCGTGCGCCCCAAAAATGTGGACAAAAAATTGTATCCATACACACATACATTTTCTAAGGTATGCCAAAATGTTCAAAAACCTCCAAAACGTAAAGATATGCATAAATTTTCAATTTTGAAGTTTGGACGATTATAATACCTTACTCTAGGTAAGTTAAAAATTTGTATCCTCTAATGATTAGAGAATTAGAGTCGAACCCTTCGCCAGCCAAAATATTATTATTCTCTTGGAAGAAAGTTCTCTATTACACCGAAAAGAAAGTCGCATATTATAAGTATAACACTTGCAACTATGCATTCTGGAAGATCTTTCGAGGACGGATATGCGAATGCGAAAAGAAAGTTCGTAATTACGAAATATTTTCTTTCCATCTTTTTATTTTTGCACACTGGTTTCTGGTCGTCGGCCAACTTTTGTACGAACAAAATCATGATTCATTAAGAGCAATACATCATTTATGTGCCAATTTAAAAGAACAGATTATTATCGGCCGAGCAAGTATTACACTCCGAAGAATGTATCACATTTACATTCTTGGCGTTCTATTTTTTTGTTATATAAATTGTGGTCTTGGGCTCATGTGTTGGATTACAGATCATTTTATAAGATACTTATAATGAATACATGCCTTGGATTTTTTTTATTAGTGGGTTATTAACACCTAATAATAACCTATAGATATGCTAATAATAGAAAATAAAAGGTTCTGCAGTAATTATGATACAATTTGAATACATAGTCAAATATTGGAGCAAAATCTAATGCATCATCAGAAGATACAATCAGAAAATGCTAAATATTCTTGTTCACTAGATGATTTGTGTTTATTTAGAACAGAATAATTAAAAACTCAATAACATATCGATT